AGTTCCAGATGTTTACACTATTTTTCAGCCGCCATATTGGTGTACCACGGAGGTACACCAACATGGCGTTTTCATACTGGGCTCTGTAAATATCGGCGAAACATTACGACGAATATCTGAAGTTTGGGAAAACGCACAGGCCTAAAACTTGGAGAAGTGGCTTATTTAGTTGTCTTCCATAACATCATAATTTCATAGCTTTTTCCACTGGATGGTTTTCGATTTATTTTTTTATTGCGTGACAGTGAAAACGATCTATTTTTTGGAGTATAGCCGCCATGTTGCGCGACTCCGTCGTCGTCGCCGTCGTGCGTACGCGCCCATCAGCAATACCGCTAGCCATGATAACCATGAGGAAATTAACTCATGGGTTTCCTTTTCTTTCTTATATGAGTATGGGGCTCCGCTTGGCGGCCCTTCGGGCCGCCGGAGCTCTGCTATTATTTTTGTAACTGCAGTGTACTGCATTGCTCTTTTCTTTTAGGTGTGACAATCACCATTGTGTTTTTAACTGTAATTGGTTTCGTGGTTGGACACCAGATCATTTTGCCAATGGTGGAGGGCGGTTTTGATTCCTTTGTTTTGTTGACGATCAGAGATCTCTGGTAAGACTGTCAAAGTGCTATATTACTGTTTGGTGTTCACGATGGTCGAGGACTACTAGTAGTTTATTATTTTGAGTTTTCCTCGGATTGGTAGATACGTCCGTCTCTATATACTTCGCAGAAAATGTCCCAATGTATCGTGATATATCTCCTTTACTCAATTTGGCCAAAGTTTATCCAAGTTGACCTGTTCATACAAAGAAGAGGACCGGCTCTGTGAGTTTGCATGTTTTCGGTTATTCATACTCGCCATATTGTAGATTATTTTACCGGGGGTGGGGGAAGGGGGTGTTTAAGTGCTATTGAAATCAAAACGTATAGCAATGTTGTGCATTGGCAACTACAGATGGTGCAAATGTTTGTCGTTGTGTTCTTGTCTCATTTAACGTTATCGTGTTTTTGTTTCAGGCCCGCTCTTGTAATGTCCGTGGCGTTCTTTTGGATCCAGTTATTGTTGGCTAAATACGTGTTTTTAGCTGACAAGGATACTACACTGGCCTTGGATAACAGGTATTCGAAACTTTCCGGAGCACCATAAGTGTCATTTTAGTATAATTTTAAAGACTGTTTAGTTTTCTTTTCGTCTTGTTATAACGTAGGGACAATTGATAGTTTAAGATAGGCACCTATTTACAAGGAAAGGGGTCGATCTTAACACTGGGATCATCCTTCAGGCAGAAATGTGGTGACGGTTTGAGTTCGGAGCCATTGCCTAATGGACAAAACCAAGATGGCGGATGACAACAACAAAGACGAAGTTCACGGATTTAATTTTACTCCTCTGACAAAATTGATAATTTTCTTCCACTTTATTAATCCCTGCATGTATGGCGCGTTTTCAGGGTCAAAATTAAAAACTAACTTTTCCACCTTTCCTTACCTGCTAAGTAAAATTTGATGCACATGCATTTGCAACAAAAGTCAGGTTGTGGCTGTCCTGGCGTGGCTACCAGTGGTGTATGAGTAGTCCATCACCGGTGACTCCCCAGCATTCTGTCAGGCTGCTCCAACAATTCCCCATTACCCAGTTATACTCCCGGGTGGAGAGAGGTGTGATGAGCCTTTCCCAAGAGCACAACTGAATTACTCCGGCCAGGACTTGAAGCAGGACCGCTCGACTTGGGAATCCAGCGAACTAAACATTAGCCCACCGCACCTCCCGTGCTGAATGTTTATTGTCTATTACATGACGTCCCTTCTCCTTTCCATTTGGATTGATAGCATAGGCGCATCAAACATGCAATTATTGGTTTCCACCACAACAAACTAAAACAAACATTGACGAGGGACAACGCTTTAAGAAGAGATAACATTTCAAGATAACATAACTGATAAGACTAGCGTCAACTTCGATTCTAGTTTTACAATCAGAAATTAAAGGTGATTTGCATCATTTAGCAACACCACTCTTAATTTTGGACATTTCTAACGTACGTAGCTGTAGTAAAATGTTGTAGACAGTACAGTTAACCTTTAATCCCTGTGATTAGAGTTATATATTGAACCTTTCGTAAGCCACCTATGTAATCTTGCATTTTGTCAAGATTTATTATTAGCAAAACACTGCTCGTGATTTGATATTATCCTATCTAATAACCTGTCCTTGTTGGTGTTTCAATTCTAGGCTGCAACTCTCAAATACTCAGGTTTCCAGGTCGCGTATCTCTGTTGGGGTAAGTTTTCGCAGTTTATATGCAATATGAGTATTTACACCATGCGGATAGAAAATACAGCCAATCAAAGTACAGGAAAGCTGTTTTAAACGTGACGGTATTACACCCAACTTTCCCATCGTGTGCTGCGCGCATGTCACAATGATTGTGTTAGCCACTGTATTTTCTATGACTTGAGATATTCTATTGTATACCGCTCGAAAGCCTTGCTTAACTAGCATATGTATCTGAAAATCATTTCAGAAGATATCACTCTAAACGTACCTTCTGTTGTCATTATCGACTGGATTATTATCTTTGTAACTGAAGTATACTGCATTGCACTTTTCTTTCAGGTGTGACAATCACCCTTTTGTTTTTGACTGGAGTTAGTTTTGTGGTTGGACACCAGATCATTTTGCCAATGGTGGACGGCGGTTTTGATTCCTTTGTTTGGTCAAAGCTCAAAGATCTCTGGTAAGACTGTGAAAGTGCTACTGTTCACGATCGTGAAGGACTATTAGTCTGTCAGCTAGACTCTCCCTTGGATTGGTAGATAGGTCTGTACTTTGCAGGAAATGTCTCAATATATCATGGCGTATCTTCTTTACTCAGTTTTGCAAAATTTGTCTTAATTTTGTCCAAGTTGACATGGTAACACAAAAGAGGAACGGCTCTGTGAGTTTCTCTTTCAGTTATTTATACTCGCCACATTGAAGATCTTTGTATCGGGGGTGGGGGAAGGAATATTAGAGTATTGAAATCAGGCCTTGTCGTAATGTATTTTAGACGGTTCTGCATTTGCACCTTAAAAGGGTGCAGATGTTTTTCGATGCGTTTTTATCTTCGATATCACTTTTTTATTTCAGGCCAGCTGTTGCAATTTCCCTGGGGTTCTTTTGGATCCAGTTATCGTTGGCAAAATACGTATTTTTAGCTGACAGGGATACTACACTGGCCTTGGATAACAGGTACGCCAAAATGTCGGGAGCACCTTAAGTGCTGTTTAGTTTCCTTTTGTTGTAGGTAGAACTTATAAATAATTTTATAGATAAAATAAGGTACATGTACTTTACAAGGTAGCAAAGGGTCGACAGTAGCACCATCACACTTGAACCTTCCTTCATTGTTTAAGGGCAGGCGGAACGGTTTTTCATGTAGCATTTAGTTTGCATGCAGAAATGTGTTAACGGTTTGAGTTCGGTGGGAGTGACTACCAAAAGACGAAAGCAAAATGGGGAATTAGAACAACAAAGCTCGAGAAACTTGTCACCCCAGGAAGATCCGTCTTTTCGGATCTCCCCCACCCCCTTCATGTGAACTGGCCCTAAAACACCTAAAAAGTTATTTGGTACTTTGATTTTCGGTCGTTTGTTTTGGTTGTTGTTATTTTTTTTTCTCCGTTTTTTTTAACAATCCAGTTTTATTTGTTTTCAGGCGTCTGTTCCATGTGTGTACGTTTTTCCTGTTCTTCTTTAACATTTTTCTTGGTGTAGTTTCTTGCCTGAAACGTATTTTGATTGGTGCCATTCTTGGTGTGATGTTCCTTGGACGGACGCAGAAAAGTGTCTTATCACGTGACTTCGAGCTAAAAGATCCAGGTTTGTGTAAAATACTTTTTTCATTGTCTCAAATAAGTATCGATTATTGATTTTTGTACTGATGCTAGTCTTCAGTAGTAATCACCTCTCATACTTATAGACAATTTGGAATAAATAAGCACCAGCAAAGGTTTCAAAGGCTAACAGTTTGTAGTCTTTGAAAAGTTTACAAGTACTTATTCCAAATTGAACGAGTGTATTTTTACAATGTGTATTAATTTGAGTGTCTGGCTATTCTACACACCCAAGTTCAGACAAAATCATAGGCAAAATCAACTTACATACTGAGACCGAGGGTGAGTAAGTGTGCAACATGTTGAAACTCAATATTTGGTGATTTTAACCTTAACAAATTCTAAAGTATGTTCCTCACACAACTTGTACACTGTTTTGAATTGAGTGGAGCTACACACATGTGCCTTAATGTAAAACCAAACTCAAAGCAATGGATGCTTGCAGAAGGGAGAATACATGAATATTTTGCGCTTTGGTCGCTTTAAGTATCACAGTCCTGGTTTGCATTTCTTGTCAGGTTTTAACGCGTACGTGGGATATCTGCTTTTGGAGCATACTCACGCCAATCCAGTACTGGTAACATTTTGTCAGTTACTGATCAAGACAATTAATGACAGACAAGCTTCTGAGGTCGCAGCATCAAAGGATCTTGTCCAGAGTAACCTGTATTCAAGTAAGTTTATGTTCACTAATAGGTTCTTTGATAGTCATCGATAGTTGTGTTCATCATAATTCATAGTGGTATTACGACAGCCTAAAAAAAGTCTGATTTTATAATGGGTGAAATGTCATCGCCGTAATCTGAAATATCTGTTTGAAATGTAATGCTCATCATCGTCATCATTCTCTAGCAAGCCCGCACTAGCATCACCAGCAGACGCAGCATCCTTTCTGTTTGTTGTTACTTCGGCTGTGGAGAAGGGCAAAACCCATGTTGCTGGAAGGACACTCTCTTGAGGCTGGTGTTTCTCAACCCCTTCTCTGGAACGAAGTAAATGTACTATGATCATTGTCGTGGAGTAAAGAAAGACATTGCTACTTTATTCCTTCAGTACTTTGTAACCTTTGTCATTGCTGGTCAAAATTCATTATAATCAGTAAAACGTAGACGTAGACCCAACATAACTGTAGACCCAAAGTTTTTTGAATTGCTTTTTATAATTAATTCTAGCTCTCGCTGTCCTTGTTTATTTGTATCACGGTCTGAACTCTTTTGTTTTTGCAAACATGTACACTTGCTATTCCTTCTCTGTTTCTCCTGCTTCCTCGTTTTTTAGCAAAATGCCCTATTCGGCGACCATGGATTTCAGGACTCAATTAATTTCTAATAAAAATCCCATTCGTTTTCATAGATCACCAAGTTAGCATTGAGCTTGATAGCACTTCACGAAGGGATAGCTGCCGGCGAGTGCGTAATCGATGGCACTTGCTTCTTACTCTACATAACAACCCATCACTTCAGGAGCACCGGCGGCCAGACTTGTTCATTCAAAAGTCGCCATTTGCAGCGTTTCAAGTTATGATACAAAAAGGCATAGTGCAGTATAACCAATGCGAGGGTGAAAATGATGACAAATCTGGGGTCGAAGACGCCAAATTGTGATTGGAGTTTAAGTCACAGTTCAAGTTACAGTGATTGGTTATGTCCGGGTTACAAGACTTTTGATAATTTGTACTGAAAGGCGAGTCGATATGATGTCACAAAAAACCTAGCACTTTCATAAATTGAAGTAAATTCCTAGTGGCATTTATTTCTTGGACAAAAGCCTACTGCGGACTCACAGACTGGTTAGTTGGAAGGGTTCCTTTTACGAAACTACTACGATCAACACAAAGTAAAGTCAAAGACGAGTTCGCTGCTGAGATGGATCGTGCAAAAACTGTGTATCCGAGCGTAGGTTCAACACGCGAGCTTCGTGTTTTTGCGTTTATACGTATCGATATCACCACTTTCAATATGGTTGTAGAGCCTGATGTACAGTTATTGTAATTAATTTGAATTATTTTGTTAATATGTAAATGATTTTACAATGCAATAAATTTTGCATGGAAATCTTAATTTTTTGTTCCTTTTACATGTACGTGTATAAGTTGAAGTGGATGTTTCCCAGCTTGTCTAAAATAGTTTAATACAAAGAGAAATGTTTACTATTACTAATTCTGCATGCGAGTTGGTCCAAGGCATTGTGTTGTTGTTAAAGAGATACTAGCATGGCGATTTTGCTGCATTTTTGATCATAGCAGAAAGTACCGTCGCTCGCACAGAAAATGTTAAATGTTTGTTTACAGTGGTGAATACGCTTAGCTACACCTACCTAGTTCACAGGCATGCCACTTAAGCTAAAAGAAACAAATATTGCAAATGCTGCGAGATCACCAAGATGAAAATATTAATTAAGTGACTGGAGAGCAAATTGTAATTAGTTTTTAGCGATGTTTTTCCAAGACACGACGACAGACTTCATAAAAGTCTCTCAGACTTGTTCAATTTGTCTTCGACGCCTTTAGCATACGTAGCTATTAATGTAACATCCCTTGTATAGCTTCAGTTTGAGGGTGTATTTTTTAACAAAACTAGACCATTATGTCTGGGTTTCTATCAGTGAAAATTTGTCTTGGATTTTGACTTTTTGAACTTATGGTCGTGGCCCCTTATGCTCGAGAGTGTGTGGTTGCAATAATTATTAAGTGGCAGCGATTGTTGCTGGTTAAAGGGATTGAAGGCACTCAGGTAAATTCATAAAAGTGTTTAATGTAAAGATTGCATACCCATTATAATACCTTCGGCGTTTCAAATACCACGAGGATTTTAGAAAATACGATTGCTTCCGAAACAAGTTTTTTTCCTAAAGGAACATTTACAATCAACCCTATCGGGTGTATGTAATGGTCGACAAGGGCACACGCATGTTATAAGGTGGGGATTGTTTTTAATTACGTTTCCGACCGTCGTAAGACTTGACGAGACGACAATATACGTTACGATAATCGTGGGCGTCGTATTTCGAATTTCTTGGAGCTAAAATAAAGTATCAATATATGTTTTGTTGCAACCGGCCATCGGCTGATGTAATCCGGTTTAACCTGGTTATTTGATGAACAAAGCCAGTGTTGGACTCCAGATTTCGAGTTCTTTTATTTACGTTTTCGAACAGCAATTATTATGATGTAAGAATTTCCATTTGAAGAAAGAGGTTTTGGCTTCGAGATTAACTATACATAAAGCAAGGCAAAACGTCCTTCGACAATGTCCTTCGATCTATCTGGGCTGGAGGGGAGGGTTGGGGGAGTGGTTGGAATCGTGCTCCTATGTAAGTTATATGGGCATGTGCCGCCGTAAAGGGGTGGTATCTTGTGCTCCTTTGGTTTGAAATAGGGGGAAGTGTTAACGTTCATCTACGTTATGCCGTCGAACCTTCACTGAGGCTTTTGGGATTGGACGGACCAACCCAGGTCTGGCAGGGAATAGTCAAATGTATGCACCTACCCCGTCTTTTTGGGCGCCGATCTCCAGCTACATCGACACGTATTCACAACACAAACCAAAGACAGACGCTCCAAACAGCTGTGCTGTTCTGTCGTTTTGCTTGGTCAACAAATGTGGAGTTGTTTTTGCACCCTTACAGCTGTGAAATGGATGTTTGCAACACCTGTAACACTGAACTGACACGATGCAATGATAGTTGCCATAGATCAATCTGACAACTGCAAGAGTTTGTACGATAGTGTGAAAGCTCTCACTGAGTTGCACTATTTGTGTAACTGAATATTCATGAACGTTTTTCTCCCTTTTTTATACTTAATTTGATTTCGGACAGTTTCCAGCCAAAGCTTTTCATCAATCTTCTTCATAAATATAAAACTTTAAGGTAAAAAGCTGTTAAAATTATAAGTCTAAACGTTTTCGATCTGTTGATCATCATCAGACTCATAATTTTAACAGCTTTTTACCTTAAAGTTTTATATTTTACTTTTATCGGCGAAGTGTATATATAATCTTCTTCATGTTACCAGAGTTTGACTACTCAGTGTATGAGACACACACAAAAAAAAAACACAAAACGTCCAAAGGCAAAAAGATAAACTAAAAACAGTACTGAACCTTTATGCCTATGTTATTTTAACTTGCAACTCTATCTTTTTTCCGGGGGTAGGCTGGGTGTATCAGAAATTTGCGGAATCTATCACTGGGAAGCTACCGTGCTGATGAGTGGGTATTGTGTGTCATCTTTGGATCTTTAGTATCACGTCTTTTGGTGATCACACCATCGGCAACACCAAGAAACTGCTGGTGCGATTAAGATTTGACAACTAAGTCCTAAAATGAAGAGGCAGAAAATCTATACAGTAGCAGTTTTTAAACACTGACACATGCCCATTACGCTTTGACGCTCCTCTTTAATTTCTTCACCACTCAATGTATCGACTTTTTAAAGGAAAAAGGCAGTGAACCTCGTAGTTCCTGTCGGCTGCATAATTATTAACCGCATATACACCGTAGACGGAAACTAGGCTAATGAAATCTGTACTTGTTAAAATTTTACGTGTTCTTTTCCTATCAGTATTTCAGTGTGATGTTAGAAGAAAAATGCACGTTATTTCTTAAATCTCTAGATACGATTTTTGTTTATTTCTTTATTGATATATCTATCGCGACAATATAACCGCCGACAGTCTTATGTTATAAAGAAAAATGATGCAGAAACTATGCTTTGCATTGAGTTACTCACTTTGTCAATCTTCCCTGTTTGGATAGATATAAAGAGGCTATCTACCATTCACCTTCGCACCTAAAATTCTACAATATTATGATAGTACAGTTTAGAACTGCCATAATGGTGATCAAATAAAGGTACAATGTTTAAAAAGCAGGCTAAACACTCAGACATTGCTGTCAAGAGTGTCAAACTACTGTCCGTTGTACAACTGACACACTAAACAACCCACCCGTGAATTTACTCTGCTGTTAAAACTCGGGATTTTTGTTTCAACAAACGATGTATCGTGCTAACCTGCGATTGGTTTAACATCAAAAACAGGACATCTTCGTTAGTGTAGCTGGCTTCAATCCCAGGGCGAAGATACCTATAAAGTGTCCCGTAGAAATGCCTTCAGCCACACTGTTTCGGCATTTGTTCAAAGAGTCATGAGAGCTTACGTTCTTCTCCTGCTGGTGGCTTTCGCCTCCTACATCAACGCCGAGGGCTATGTACGAGTGTGTTACCACACAAACTGGTCTCAATATCGTCCGGGTGCCGGCAAGTTCTTTCCTGAAAACATCGATCCTCACCTATGTACCCATTTAATGTACTCATTTGCAAAGATCGACAGGAGCAACAAACTGGCCATGTACGAGTGGAATGACGACAAGTTGTACCCAAGGTTTAACGCCTTAAAACAGAAAAACCGTGAACTCAAAACACTGTTGGCTGTAGGAGGATGGAACCACGAAAATCACAACAGCCCATTTTCCAAGATGGTCAAAACCGCGGCTTCTAGAAAGGTATTGCCACACCTCCACCTTTTCTTACACAGCTTCTATCATCAATAACTTGTCTTGATGCCTCATACTTTAACTCTAATTCCCCGAACATCGTGTTCAAGTATACGTTTTTTAAAAAAAATAAAGGAGTGTTACGTTCATTCTAAATTTATCACTTTTTACCTTTCTACCTTTTTGCTTTGTGTTTTTGCCTTCGCGACATGTGCTCATGATTATACAGGATGTGTTCTCGTCCCTTATATGTGCTGTCGTTCTTAACGGGTTCTTTGTAGAGCAAATATTCTATTTCTTCTCTGAGTGATTTTTCCTCTTGCATTGAAACTCCTGTTAATCTAAGCCTGACGATTAGTGTTAAATGTGTTTAAATATTTTACTATACTGTTCCGAACTTCAAGCACCTTGCCAAAGTATAATAAACATTATATTTTATCATTCGTATTGATCACTTTTGTTATCTTTTATATATATGATAACTATGTTACATGTATGTAAAATCATTTAACTGGACCGAAACATGGTGCCAAAGGCTACCGAGAGTCGTGACTCTCCTTTTACAAGTATTCGACAACTTCGGGTTTCATTTAACTAATAGCAATAATGTCTTGAGTTATAATGGAGTATCGTCATTTCCACTCTTTCCATACCAGGTATTTATCGACTCGTCAATTGAGATGCTGCGAACATGGGGCTTTGACGGTCTCGATTTGGACTGGGAGTATCCTGGAGTTCGTGGAGGCTCACCACCCGGAGATAAACAGAAGTTCACCATTCTCTGTCAAGAGCTGTTGAACGCCTTCAAGGCTGAAGCAGCCCAAACTGGAAAGCCCCGCCTATTGCTGACTGCTGCTGTGGCAGCTGGCTATAAAACTATCGATAAAGCCTATGAAGTGGCCAAACTTGGTCCATTGCTGGACATACTCAACCTGATGACCTATGACCTTCACGGCACCTGGGACGACGTGACGGGACATCACACTGCCATGGTAGGTGATGACAAGCTGACAGTGCCATTCGCAGTCCAATACTGGATTGACAAGGGATTTCCAGCCAACAAGATCGCTTTGGGTCTTGCTACATATGGACGAGCATTCAGCCTGAAAGACCCTGGCAACAGCGGCCTTGGTGCTCCCAAACATGACTGGCAGAAACCCCATAAAGGTCAATATACCAGAGAGGCTGGATTCTTGGCTTACTACGAGATCTGCAAACTTGGCTTAAATATTGTCTCGAATAACGCCGTGATGGCTCCTTACGGCCACAAGGGTACCATCTGGGTTGGCTTCGATGATAAACACAGTTTGCATTACAAGGTAAAAGAGGTAATTATGAAAAAAGGTCTCATGGGATCGATGTTCTGGGCCCTCGACTTGGACGATTTTAGTGGCAGTCAATGTGGCCAAGGTAAATATCCTCTTATTAACGCTGTCAAGAAGTATTTAGGTGGCTACACACCCCCGCCACGCCCCACTGAGCTAACTCCACCGCCTACCACTCAAGGGCCTACCGAAGGACCTGGACCTGCTACGACCATGCCACCAACCCAAGGGCCTAAACCACCAACCAATGGTTGCGTAGCACTCCCACCTTATGACAAGCAATCGGGCATGAATGAATGGTGTCAAATCAACTGTGCTGCTGGAAATTGTCCTTCGTCACACTGCAATTGCAGCTAGATCAAGGCAGGGCTGCAATGATGTAGCCATAAAAATGTAATAGATTGGAAAGTAGAATAAAAGCGGTGTGAAGGAAAAGCTAAACGTTTCTGTTCTTTTTGCATTTTAATCTTTCGTGATCTGCTTTTCAGTTTCGTTGAAACGTATTCTCTTTCACATAAGCATCAGTTCCCAATCGATGGCGCCTCCTGAGAAGGTACCCCACAAAAGCCCTGTTGTCTGACGCATGTCTACGCTTTCTGCGAAACTCTACACTCGTCCGAAAAAGTCACCCCTAAATTTATAACACAAAACAGTGTTTCGCAGCTCCCCGTCACTATAACACCTTTAGTATCAACATGTCGTTTACTTTCTACCATAATATATCTTTCTTTTTTGAAGTTCTCAGTGCTGCGCGAAATTAAAAGGTACATTAGAATAAGTGGTCAAATAGCGACGAGTGAACCTAGGAAATAATTCGGTTGAATTTTGTTAAAAAGGGAGTAAAAGTGTACCGTTTTACCGAGTGCTTGTTTGAATACAGTGTTACGCTTTTTGGCTTGGTAACCTCTAGCATACTCTTCAGAGGAACTATGTAAGAGATTGTTCTGCATTTTCGGCCTAGCCGATGCCAAAATTATCACCTAGACACTAACACGTTCGGTTATACACGAAGTACGCCTAGAACACCAAAAGAATATTACGAAGTAAATTTGTGAGTGGGGGAGGGGGATCAAACCGTGATTAGTGTCTGGTGACTTTTTGAATGACAGAAGGGCGCGCAGAACTTGAATACATTTGCTCGTATTTTTGAACTGAGATTAAAACCTCGTGCGTGGGCGTGACTTGTGAACTAGTGTAGTAACTTCAACCAAAGTAGGGTGATTGTTTTAGGTTTCCACTGTTCTAAGAGCTTCACTTTTCGAAGTGCTGCTTCCGGGGGGCGGGGGAGTATTCTCACATTCTCACATTCTCCATTTTTACATAGATCGGGTTTTGTATATGTTATAATGCACTGACTCAAGGTAGTGCTTGAGACCGATTTTTAATTCTGTAGGGAATAGTGCGAACTTACGGCAAACGTCGGAAATTAAGTTTTCAAGTATGGGTCAAATAACTATCAATCACCGGGAAAAAAGGTTAGAAATCTTCGCTTTATATCCTTAATCCTCTGGAGACTTAAACTTCTGTCACTTCAGAAGGAAATTCAGAACCAGTTTCAACAGTAGTAATATTATCGTCCTTTGCAGCCAATCAAAATCCGAACTCTGTAGAGCAATATTATGACCCTCTAAGAAATCGAAAAAAATCCGTATTTTTAGCGGGTTTTAGTATAAAGCTACAAGCGTTCTATCACAAATGAGGCTCTCTGATTGGCTGCACTCTTCACCGTCTATTCTGTTGTAAATAGTAAGTACTGTAGCCTAGCAGAGTGCGGTTGTTAACAAAATGGTAGCCGCTTCTTTGCGTCCTCGAAGTGTCTAGTAGTGGACTAGTAGATAAGATAAGATAAGATAAGAAGATAGGATAAGATAGCTTTATTTAATATACACGGTTTTTCCATCAGTCAACAAAATTACTGGATTATCTACTTATCTGCCTAACTACAATAAAAGTTAAAAAAACTGCTTTTCGTGGAGGCCGTGTCTAAAAATTTACTTACAATTAAGATATTACTTTAAACCGTGGCGACTTAATTTAGATTTGAAATCGGTCAGTGAAGATGCTTGTCTTAGGTCTATAGGTAAGTTGTTCCACAACTGAGCTCCGCTGTACGAAAAACTTCTCTTAAGATAATCAGTTCGAGGTTGTGGAAGAACTAATTTGTTTTCGGTATTCCTTAAACGATAAGCATTTACGTTGTCACGATATACGAATCTTGATCTCAGATAATCAGGTGTCATGCCATTTAATATTTTATACGTTAGGATAGACTTCCGTTCCAATCTTTGATAGTAGAATCTTCGCCACCCTAGTGCCCGGAACAAATCATCCAAATTACTATCATAGCTCGCAGACATTGGCATGCGAGCTGCGCGATTTTGAAGCCTTTTGTAGTTTTTCAGAAAGGACCTTGTTACCGTTTCCCCACACTACATTGCAATGATCAAAATGTGGTTGAACAAGGCTATTATAAGCTTTAATTAAAACATTAAATGGAGTAAGATGCCGAATTCGTTTAATTGCACCAATGGCACAAGCTATCTTCTTAGAGATATTTTCAATATGACACTCCCAGTTTATATTTTGATCGACATAAACTTCAAGGGATTTAGCGGAGGTTACTTGTTTTACTGCGTTCTCGTTTATAGTAAGAGAGGGACTTTCCATAAATTGTGATAGCTTCTGCCTTGGTGCAATAAGCATAAACTCAGTTTTTGTCATATTTAGGGTAAGCTTGTTAGCAGACAGCCGTTCGTACACATTACTCAGGTCGTGATTAAGGCGATAATTCATTGCTGGCAAGCGTCAGGCTGGTATCATCCGCGTGCATTCTGGGTTCTGAATATGTCAGACAATGTGGTAAGTCCTTAATATATATCAAGAACAGAAGAGGTCCTAAAATTGTTCCCTGGGGAACACCACATTTTAGACGTTTCGGAGTTGACTTACAAGAATTAATATGACAATCTGAGTTCGATTATCTAAATAAGAAGTAAACCATTGATGGCTGGACCAACGAATCCCGTAGTATTGGAATTTTCGTAACAAAATATTGTGATCTACCGTATCAAATGCCTTTTTGAGATCTAAAAAGACGACGGCATTAACAAGACTACGGTCTATGTCCATTGTCCAGTAGCTTCGATAAGTTCCGTGAGCGTGGAATGCAAAGACCGAAAACCAGATTGATGGTACGAGAGAAAGTTGTTTGTAGATTTATACTAAGACAAATAGATTATTGGCTCACAATTTCAACGTGCGATAGTTGGCTCCGGCTGCGCCCTCGTCATCGTTCACGCTTTACAGTTCACCACTAAATTTTCTCCGATTCTTATTGGTTTAAATTGATCATGTGACGCGATAGTGTTCATCGGTGGATACTAGATGTCCAAAGTGCCCATTCGAGGAAAATAATCGTCCGAGAAATTTTTTCCGTAAACAAGCGGGCTTGAAGGAAAAGAAAATTAAAGATTGATTGATCTACATTAATTTTAGTGGGTGCTGTCTTTTGCCTTTTTCAAATTTTAAATTTGGCTTTACGCCTTTCATCTAAAAAAGTTAAAAATAATTCATTATCATTTTTGAACTGGTTCGCGAAAGAAAATTTAGTGGCGAACAATTAAGATAATATCGTGTTTTTATGACTCGGAACTATCGGTCTGATAGCTGCCCCGCGGAAATTTGATGTTCTTAAAACTAGCATATTTACCCGAGAAGCGAAGCTTCGAGGGCAAATATTTGTTTTAAGAACATGGAATTTCCGCAGGGCAAACTATCAGCCGTTAGTTCTTCGACAGAAACACTATCATTTTAAATAGGAATCGCGAGCGATTGATCCAATCGTTTTAGTGGAGTTCTATCTACATTGTTTTCAAATAACGATTTCCAACAAGAGATTATCCAATTATTTCTCTACATATTAAGTACGCAGCTTAACGCTGTGGCAAAATTCACGCACGGATTGACCTGCAGCAGCTGTTTACACATGCTTGGCATCATTGACCATGACTTAGTTGAGACATTTGAGGTTTTAAAGTCTGACTAGGAAATAGTTTTGATAGAAACCTGTTTAAACGTCTGTGTTATGGATGCCATACATTAAACGACCATTTATTCAACGTGATACTATAAAATCTAAAAGATAGTTTGCAGTAATTTTTATGTATTCTGTTCAGTGGCATTTGATTAAATTCGTAGAACAAAAAGAACGTGCTCGTGAAAAAGCTTCAGATTTGTTAAAAAGGCACATCTCTTCTTATTACATTTCGAGAGCACTTGGTTTTTTGGTTATACCCAGCTAAATAATTCGTATTGATATATTGAAAAACTCGTCAAAGCACAAATTCACCGTCCGGCTGAAGTTCAACTTTTAACTTCGAAACCTTGATCTCATATCATACATGTACTAACAGCACTGGAAATATAAAGATACTGTACTGTTTACACATGACTTAGGTAATGATATCACAGGTATTGTAAAACTTACTGGTGAAAAAAAAAAAAAACTGCCTGGTGATCAAATAAAACAGGTTTACTACACCGAAAAAGACAGTGCCGGAAAAGAAGTGCTGAGCTACGGCCGTCTTTAAACCGACACATAGAACAACTGTCCCTAGGATTTACGCTGCTGCAAAAGCTCAGGTGCTTTCCGGCTGAGCAAACAATTTCAGCGCCTCGTGTTAATTTCCGATTGGCTAAGAGCAGAAAACAAGAGCACTTCGTTTGCACAGATGCCCACAAATGCAAAGTGAGCGTGCCTATAAAGAGCCATTCAAAATCATTCCTAACTATATCGCCACGACTTTTGTTTCAAGAGCCATGCGAGCTTACGTCCTTCTCCTGCTGGTGGCTTTCGCCTCCTACATCAGCTTCAAGAGCTACGTACGAGTGTGTTACCACACAAACTGGTCTCAATATTGTCCGGGTGCCGGCAAGTTTTTTCCTGAAAACATCGATCCTCACCTTTGTACCCATTTAATGTACTCATTTGCAAAGATCGACAGGAGCAACAAACTGGCCATGTACGAGTGGAATGACGAAAAGTTGCACCCAAGGTTTAACGCCTTAAAACGGGAAAACCCTGACTTCAAAACACTGTTGGCTGTAGGAGGATGGAGCCACGAAAATCATGATAGCCTATTTTCCAAGATGGTCAAATCGCGGCTTCTAGAAAGGTACTGCAATAGTTCCACGCACTCACATTTCTTACTTTTTTTAGTATGGCTTGATTGCCGAGTAACATTTTTACACGTATCATATACGAAGCCAAACATCTGTCAAATTCTGTCATACGTATAATTCTGATATTCCAAAAAAACTGTTGGACTGGTTTTCTGTTTTGTTAACTGGCCTTTTCAGTTGCTGTGGTAGGACAATTCAAGTATCAGCGTAGTTAGCTTTTGCTTTTGTTTTGTTTTGTTTTGTTTTGTTTTTTTTTGTCGTTGTCCAGCCCTAAAACAATGAGTATTTTTTTTTTATGGTCTTTACCCAGCTTTTTCTTCTTGAATATTCAGTAAACATATGTATCTGCATTGTGTAACCAGATCAAACGTACATTGACATTAAATTTCGTAGTTATACGGTTGGATAAACTGGCGTAAATAGTAAAAACAAATACGAAAAGTTTCACGGTTGCTCAAACTTCAGAACGAGAGCATATGGTACAGAATTGCCATGAATGATATGCCAAGCTACTCGGTAAATTATGCTAATGCCATCTCGGGCTTTGACTATTGGCCTCCTTTAATTGATATTTTTTACACTGACGAAGTGTGTTTTTTTAATCTGAAACTCAAAAGTCCATATTTTTTCATTGGCATCTGTGTGCAAACGTTTTCATTTTCTTAGGTGTTCTCGTTAGACGTTTTTAACACTATTCCGTCCACGGCAGGTATTTATTGACTCGGCAATAATGATGCTGCGAAAATAGGGCTTTGACGGTCTCGATCTGGATTGGGAGTATCCTGGAGTTCGTGGAGGCTCACCACCCGGAGATAAACAGAAGTTCACCATTCTCTGTCAAGAGCTGTTGAACGCCTTCAAGACCGAAGCAGCCCAAACTAGAAAGCCTCGCCTCTTACTGACTGCTGCTGTGGCAGCTGGCTATGCAACTATCGATAAAGCCTATGAGGTACGCAAACTTGGTCCATTACTGGACATACTCAACCTGATGACCTATGACCTTCACAGCAACTGGGATCCGGTGACCGGACATCACACAGCCATGGCAGGCAATGACAGGATGACAGCGCCATTTGCAGCCCAGTACTGGATTGACAAGGGATTTCCAACCAACATACTCAACCTGATGACCTATGACCTTCACGGCAACTGGGACGACGTGACGGGACATCACACAGCCATGATAGGCGATGACAAGCTGACAGTGCCATTCGCAGTCCAATACTGGATTGACAAGGGATTTCCAGCCAACAAGATCGCTTTGGGTCTTGCTACATATGGACGAGCATTCAGCTTGAAAGACCCAAGCAACAGCGGCCTTGGTGCTTCCAAGCATCCTTGGCAGCAACCCCACAAAGGTCAATATACCAGAGAGGCTGGATTCTTGGCTTACTACGAGATCTGCAAACTTGGCTTAACTGTTGTCACGAAAAATGCCGCAAAGGCTCCTTACGGCCACCAGGGTACCATCTGGGTTGGCTATGATGATAAACTCAGTTTGGAATACATGGTGAAAGAGGTAATTAAGAGTAAAGGTCTCGTGGGAGCGATGTTCTGGGCTCTCGACTTGGATGATTTCTGTGGTAGTCAATGTGGCCAAGGTAAATATCCCCTGATTAACGCAGTTAAGAAGTATTTGGGTGACTACACACCACCAAAGCCGCCAACTCAAGGACCCCAGCCAACAACCGATGGCCCTCAACCGCCTACTGACGGACCAGGTCCAGTTACGAAAGCGCGTCCGGTGCCACCCACGAACGGACCAACTGCGCCACCCTCTGGATGCGAACTACTGCCACCTTATGACACAAACCCAGCCATGGGTGCATGGTGTGTAGCCAACGGTGCTGCTGGATATTGTCCTGCGTCCCACTGCAAGTGCAGCTAGATCGAGTCAGGACTGAGTCAAGTTTAAAATGGTTGCTAAAGCAGAATAAAAACCGCGTTAAATGATAATGGAGTTGTTTTATTTTAGCCCCGCGCAATCATAATAACGCCTTCTGCTAAGTATTGCTTGTATCGTTGTGCTAATCTTTCCACTGTGCAAGTCAAATTGGTAAATCGACAACAGTTCACAATTAGTACACGAATTCATATTATTACGCTATTCGCCTTATACTGTATGAAGGGGTAGAAAAACTTTGGCCTTTTTTTTTTTTAATTTTTCAAGACATGAGGCGTTGCCAGGACAATGTTAACTGATTAAGACCAGCCTGTAAGCAGGCTCCCCTTTGAGTCACGCGAGCGTGCGGCGAAGAGCAAAGCGATCTGGCAGGAAGGAGTCTGGTGAAGAGGTGCCAAGAAAGTGAAACGTTCTCGTCTCGCGGCTTCGTTGCTCGATTTCGCGCTCGCGGCTACGCCGCGCGCTTTGTGCTCCAACGTGTGCTCCAACGTAAGCCTGCTCGCAGGCTAGATTTAGATGATCCTGAATGACGCCATATCTACTCAAGAATAATTAACAGAAAATTTATTTGGGCAATATCCGAAGATTTGCACACAAGTAACAACTGTGAAACCTTCAGCTAAATGTTTCCAGCTAATATTCGACAAAATACGTTGCAAACAGGCAGGAGAATAAGTCGCTTTAACTCTGGAACTGAAGGAATTCATATCGGCCAGGAACTTTAAAGGCTTAAAAAAATGGATGTCACTTTTATTACAAGCGTATCCTTTTATTCAAGCCGCCGAATTTGTGAGTGCCAGTTCATCAGAATATACATGTAGTTGCTACAAAAGGCCTTCTTCGTATTTTGCCTAACGTAAATGCCGAAAGTTAGTCTCCTTCAGAGCCGTTATTAGGGACGTCAGAAGCGTTGCGTGACGACCCTAATAACGGCTGCGAAGGAGACTAGCCGAAAGTAAGCCGCATAGCGTACTGTATGACTAAATATCTTTCTGATAATACAAAATAGATTTAAAAAATTTCTATCAGCCCCAAACGGCCAATTTAGCCCAGTCGAACACAATTTGGGCCCCCAAACCACCATATTCAAGAACTACTTCGGCCCAATCTGGAATTCATTTAAGCTCGTGGGTCTACGTAAGCCCGCGAAATTTGAAAACTCTTTGGGCCCTTATCTAGACAGCCAATTAGGAACCCAAATAGCTACATTGGCACACCACTCACCAAAATGCCCTTAATTTTGGGACTAAAACAAATCTTTTGAATTTAGAAAAAATGTACGCCCTATCAAATTTAACCGCGCGAGTATGTTGTGCCAAATGCGGTGTTCCCCTTAGAAAAAATATGAGGAGAGGGTGGGGGGAGCAACATTCGCCCGTCAAAGAGAGTGTTTTCTAGTCTAGTCCTAATGAAACATAATGTCAGACTACTCAGGGGATTTTGTCGCTGGGGGCGTTTATTATGGTAATCCTCCCCTCCCACTATCTCCACGATCAGAATTTAATAGTTTTATCATGTGATGTCAATCGTCAGCCTTATCAAATTGCAAAGTTCACGAGCTCTCCAATTGATTTCGTCGCGGTTTTTATGAAGGCAATTGTAGATATCAGCATTAGATCCTGTAGGACTGGAATAGCTCAAAGACCCGTTTGATATGTAGTGATATCTCCTGCACGCACGGTCGTGTTCGCCAAACATGAAAGACATACAGACTGTAAGGTAAGGGAATACAGCAAGTTTGTCCTGCCGAGTTCTATGCTTTAAGTTCATATCATAACACATACGATTGTTATTATCCTCTCAAATGATTTGTTTCTTTAGGTTTTTCCTTATTGCCTTTGTGCTCGTGTTATGGCCAAACATAATAATCACGGTAAGTAAAACTCCTTTTTTATTCTTCCGGTGTACGTGAATTAATAGCACAGCATTTTTTTTTCTTGATATAAAGTATTTATCAGAAAAAAAATTCAAATCGAATTATGTGGTGCTATCGTTTCAATCCAAACAGATTTAAAACCCAGACGCAATGCATTTTAGGTATGTTGACTTAGAAAGCTTAAGAATCCTTAAATATAAGGTAAATTAGCTTGCAAGGGGATTATAGAATAATCGCAAGATTGATGCGAAAATACCACACATTCCTTTTATTCTCGCAGCATTTCTATTTCGACCGCGTTCAATGATATATTTAAAATAAGTGAGGAAATTTAGTTATGTCACCTTAAGTTAGCGCTCCAAAATGAAGCCATTAAATTTGCTTCAGAAAGGAAAAGCATGTCCGTCGAAGGCTCCTTGTCAGCAAAAAAAGAGTCTTGTTTATTCACAACCCACCGAGAATTATCGTCAGTAGTGAGATTTCGGCCGGTGGCATTGAAAACTAAAACCCAGAGTATACAACAAAAAGTAACTACATACTGTGACCTAATCTCGGGTCAATTTTCGCGGTCTGGTTTTAGTTTTACCGGTATGAGTCCATTCGTATCTACAAAAGGCCAGGATTTTTCTTCAGAAATAAATAATCAACTAGCCATCAAATAAATTGTGGGGTTTTACTATCAGCCCATTTTTTGCTGTTTCTTAACAAGCCAGCTTTGTAGAAAAGTTAACTATCATGTGGCTGATATTAACCTTTTCATCAATTATAGTATAAGTTTCTTGACGAAAGCTGTCGTAAAGATCTCCGAACAAGGCTAGATGAAATATTTGTAACACAACTCTCAGACTCTAAGAATGTCTGCGAGGCAGACTCCCAGTAGAGAACGTGCTGACATTTGACTGACGCTGGGAATTCGTTAAAAGAAATGTTTCATAGTTTCATCTAACGAGACTGAAATGTATTCCGGGGGAGAAGGAGATAGGCTGCGAAGTTTTTGGAGGGGGTGGGGGGTGGGGGAAGGGGGCTGTGCGGCGCGTTTCTCAAAACACTCGCCCAAATCCAAAGTATATGGCTTTCCATACCTTATTTCAGAACTGACCAAAAAATCAATACCATGCTCCTAACCTGAGCCAATAATCGATACCATATTTCAGAGTACGCACACGTCTCTTATAAAACTGTGACCTCAGCCACCAGGAATGGTACTGCATCTGTCGCAAATATATTTTAATACAAGGACAGGAACGAATTAACAGACGAAAAGTCTGTTCTATTTTGCAATCAATCCTTGTCTACTTTTGTGTCTTGATCGTTGCTTCATTCTTGATTTAATTTGCTAGCAGGGTGTTAAGAGACTAATCCAATTAAGTTTGATTGCAGTCGCGTACCACGGATGCTTAGCGTGACGGGGGAATAGTAGCACTTGGTAATCTGGTTTACATCTTAGTCCACATCTAACCCACTAACTGTTATTTCTGCTTCATTTATCCACTGAGAAAACAAACTATAGAGCAATTAGAGCTGACAAATGGCCTTCTTCCATTTTTCGCATACGTGGTACGTGAAAATGACCGACGATCGATAAGACATTTTGAGGAGTGTGGAAATTTACCAGCAGGATCATCGTTCCGGTTGCTTGCTTAAACATTTTATGGAAATTTACCACCTGAATTTCATCTCCTACCTTATACCCCCAGGGGAGGATAATGCCTATCAAAAGTTCGGTAGTACTGTGTGCGGCCCCAACGAGTATGCTTTTTCATTCAGTTTGATCTGAAGTTGTGTATCGTTTGCACTCATCTCTGGTCTGAAATTGAATGTAATGTAACGTTTGCACAAAACTAGTTTTCCTCTTTAAAAACGGGTAATAAGNTTTTTTTTTTTTTTTTTTTTTTTGGAGAGGGGGTGGGTGGTTGGGTAGACCACTCAATAAGTAACATTTTTTGGTGTGATCTCCTGGTACGTTTGTTTTAAACATATAGCATTCTTAGAAATTCTGAACCTTTTTTAAGCAGGCGGAAGTCGAGCGCAGCGAAAATGAGAGCCACGAACTTCGACAGAATTCCACAGACGGCGAAGAGTTTTACGAACAATTTTACGAATGGTCGGTCTGGAGTCCCTGCTCTAGAACGTGTGGCATTGGAATAAAATTCAAAGGGCAACTATGCCTCAGGTAAGAAGATTATTGATGTCCTCCATTATTGAAGCATTTAATAACCCTGGGAACCCCCAACCCTTTAATAAGCTGTAACATTAATCTGTACGTTTCAATGAACAGAGAAAACAAGGCACTGTGCGAAAAGAAATCCCGGATATATCAAACTTGTAATACACAGGTGAGAACCCACGCGTAGTTTATAGTTAATAGTCTGCATAAAACCGTCTATGGATGTCCTGTGCTCCAAATAAGAGGATAAGTTCGATTTCCACCGCCCTCTCAAGTTCTGTCTGCGTTCCTCCCAGCGCGGGCTCCATTCCCGAACAGCGGCTGGTAGTCGAGCCTATTAAGGGGACATCTCATTTGACTATATTCACAATCATCCAAGTCGAAGGAAACAAGAAGCTAAACAGATTTCCTTATTTTCTACAGGCTTGTCCTCAAAGGAGCAAGAATTTCCGTGATGTACAGTGTGGACAGTATAATGGCAGAGATATCTTTATCAATGGCGAAAGAGCAACGTGGAGATCATTTGTGAGAGGTATAAAAGCCACTGTCGACAAAAATTTTAAAAAGCTTTATTGGGCATATAATGGTTATCTAACAAACGCAGCTCTGTACTAAAATTGTTCGCTAGCGAAGACTAAGAGGCACATCTTTTATCATTTTAGAAAACCTCATTTTGTTGCCATTAATGCCTAAAGTTCTCTGAATTAACGGTATAACTAAACCAGGACATTACCATGGTAAACCAGCAAGTGGAGGAAAAAGTGCACCATGCCTGCTTTTTTTTTTTTAGTAGCCATCTTGATTAGTCTGTCCAAACCATCTGAGAGACCGTGGAATGATTACTACACCATTGATCAATGTCAGTCAGTTACATAAGGGTAGGCTCAATAAAAAAAAAAAAAAACGCCGGTAACTCGAATTAACGCCGGAGACGTTTATTTTATACTTCTCTCTGTGGACCCGGCGTTTATTTGGGACCCAGCGTTTAATCAAGAAAATACTCTAACTCCGGGTTTATTGAACACCACCAGGTGACAATCAGTGCCTGTTGTTCTGCTATCCGTACGGAGAAGATTTATTTTATTACTTTGGAAGAGCGAGAGATGGGACCCAGTGCTCCAAAGAACCTTACGGCGTTTGTGTTTTCGGAAGATGCAAGGTAATGATTTGAAAACTATAAACCGAAACGGAAACAGAAGTTATGTACGTAATGAAGTTGTTTACCGTGAATTATAACACAATCTTAACGGTTTGGTTGGTTTACGACGTTAAAAGGAGCGCAGTCTCGGTATTTTGAGTTATTTTGTCCTCGAACAAAATGACTTTTAAATTGAAAGAAACCTGAAAATAATAGTTTTATAAGATAGACAAACACCAAAGAAACAATAATAAACCATAAAGGCACAAGGATGATTGAGGATGGAGACGATTGATTACAAACGACGAAGTTGAAAAACTTAGGCTTAACTTTTCAAGATAAACAAACCTTGAAGTATCTCCTTTAAACATCAGCCTTATGATGTCCCAGATGTCCATCACATAACTTTATTGGAGAGAAGTGACTCAACCTACATATATATATATATATATATAATAAAAAGTTAAGATGCTTCGAGCCAACAGGGATGCCACGCGCCAGAAGGATCCAAAAGGATTCGTAGTCCAAACCTCGAGTAATGAAATTTGTAGGC